AAAAAAAAAAAAAAAAAAAAAGAGTAGACCAGAACTTTCAGAAAAATACAATATGGGGCTGGGGTGTGGCTCAGTGTGTTGCCACTGGGCAAGGCCCTGGATTCTATTCCCAGCTCAGAGACAAAGCAAAACAGAACAGCAACAAAAGATATGAGCAGAAAGCATAACAATATTATCTCTCTTTCTACTAGAAATAACACAATTCATTTCTCCCTAATTGTACAGTTAACTAGCTCACCTTCTAACAGTGTACATGAAAAACCTGGAAGCCAGAGGTACTGGGATGACTTCTTCCTGAGTGTTTTTGGCTAATTTATGGCCAAGATATGTTTAGTCTCTGGCTGGACAGAATCAAGGAAATAAACAGATAAAACTACCAAGGCTTGAGCTGAGATAACCCCGAGAAAATCTGCCATTACCTCAGCCATTGGTCTCCTTCCTACCCAAAAGGAAACCAACCCCCTCCCCACCCCAAAAATCATTGGGTGAACCGAGCCCAGCTTCAGGTGAGCCGTCGGAAAGGCTGGAGTGTCCAAACAACGTGGCATAGATCAGTTCAGTAACTGCTGATGACGGCTGGCTCAGAAGCAGGAAGAATATCTTCATTGGCAAGAAGGCAGCAGAGCCGAGGCTTCTAAAACACATACCGACAGGTCCAGGAACGTGGCCGCACATAATCCAGAAATGTGGGCTATGACGGGAGAAATAACACAGCGGTTGGTTTATGGCCACAGCACACGTGCGTTAGGTATGGGGTAGGTAACAGCTGAAGGTTATACACTGGACTTCTTTAAACCGTCCCCCAGCACTTCAGCAACCTTTAAGGTTTGAGAAACTCTGTGTTTCAAAAGATGTTGAGATGTTTTCTACCAACAGCACCAACTAATTCAACTGAGAAGAGTTTCCTAAGTTTAGTAAACTCCATTCAGCTCCATGAACCATGGATCAAATGGCAAATAGGCACTGTGTCTCTTAGCAAAATTTTTAGCAAAATTCAGTTGTTGTGGAATATTATTTGAAGCTGTATTACATTTGTTTCTGCTGTGGAACATTTGTTTTAATGATGCAAAGATGTGTTGCATTCTTTTATGTTGCATTTGTTTAACTCTGTGAAGATGTGTTACTTTGCCTGTCTAAAACACCTGATTGGTCTAATAAAGAGCTGAACAGCCAATAGCTGGTCAGGAGAAAGGATAGGCGGGGCTGGTGGGCAGAGAGAATAAATAGGAGAAATGTGGAAGCAAGAGAGGTCAAGGAGTAAGAAAAGAAGGGGTCAGCCCCTCAGCCAGCCATGGGGTAAGGGTGAAAGCAAGATGATACAGAAGCAAGGAGAGGAAAAGGCCCAGAGGCAAAAGGTAGATGGGATCATTTAAGTTAAGAAAAGCTTGCTAGAAATAAGCCAAGGTAAGGCCGGGCATTTATGAGTAAGAAATAAGCCTCCATGTGTATTTGTTTGGGAGCTGGGTGGAGGGTCCCCCAAAGAGTAAATGAGCAAAGAGTAAAAAAACCCAACATTCAGTTTCAGCCTAAAAAAATCTAAATAGTAGCAGGACTAGAAAATAAAGCATGTGTATACGACTATAATACAAGGTTTTAAGTTAGTGATCCACTTCAATATGAAGGACTTTGGAAGTTCCAAAACAGGAAAGATCGAACAAGAATTCAAAGGGCTTCCATGGCAAGTGCGGCATCCAAACTGGATCTCAGTCGGGGAATCAAATCTGACACGGGAGACCAGAGTATAAAGAACAGCGTGACCAGGGATGCACAAAAGGCCTCGCTGGGCAGGAAGCAAGGGGGGGGGGGGGCTGCCTGGAGACTCTTAGCTGTAAATCTCTGCACTCAGTATGGTTCCCGGAAGAAATACCCAGGAAGATACACCAACAGGGAATCTCAGTCACGTACAAATTGGAGTCATCCACCTACAGACTCAAACAAAACAAACAAAACCCAAATATAATCACGAGGGGCAGGGGAAAGGAACAGTGGTAAAATCAACGGAAATGCAGCCCCAGACATCAGTGTTGTCTGGCATTTTTTAGAAAAGCTTATTACTTTTGGGGGACAGAAGAAGGGATGTATGTGCCACTGGGAAAACCCTGGAGATACAAAGTCACAGGAGGTAAAGAAAAAGGAAAATGGGCCGGGCGGTGGTGGCGCACGCCTTTAATCCCAGCACTTGGGAGGCAGAGCCAGGTGGATCTCTGTGAGTTCAAGGCCAGCCTGGGCTACAAAGCGAGATCCAGGAAAGGCACCAAAACTACACAGAGAAACCCTGTATTGAAAAAAAGAAAGAAAGAAAAAAGAAAATGAAGAACCAGAAGAGCTAAATGAAGAAAGGTGAGGAGTGAGCAACTCAGGGAAGTGAACTGGTGTTCATGTCCTACCTCTCCTTCCAACTCAGCCTCACACTCTCTACTTCTATACCACCTCCATAATACCACCCCTTACATCGGGGCGACTAATACCACCCCCCCTTACATCAGGGGTAACTAATACCACCCCCCCCTTACATCAGGGGTGACTAATACCACCCCCCCCCTTACATCAGGGGTGACACCCAAGCTGGACTGGCAACTCACATTCTTCAGAGGACAGTGCTGGCGGGCATACCATTCTTGAGAATAAAAGCACAGGATGACTCCCTGGCCCAGGAAAAGAGAAGCCCATACCATGATGTTCCAGATTGGCCTTTTCCGGCTGTCGTTGACAATGAAGTTAAAAGCCACTAAAGTTAGAAAGAGAACAAAAATACAGTTATCAAAACATGGTTCACCAGGGATGAGGGCTCAGATACAGGCCATGGCTGAGTCCCAGCAGTGAGCATCGGCCATTCATAAGCATCTTTCGTCCTGCCCACTTACTCTACAAGTAAATGAGGCTTCACTACTGAAATTTACCAGTCCTAATTAGCAGGAAACCAAGAGTATTCAGAACAAGTGGAAACACATTTCATCGAGTGATTCTTACGGGTTCCTCTCCACACACTCAAACATGAACCCACTTTCAGGAGTTGCACAGTGACAGTGTTTGTGACTGTGACAGTGTTGGTGACTGGTCCCCACGAGGCTACCTAGTTCACAGCCTCCCTCCAGTGTGTAAACACCTGTAGACACAACTGCATGCAATCACTCAAAGTCAGTGTTCTGACCACCCGCTAACGGCTAGCTTTTCTAAGAGACCTCAGAGTTCCCTTCCGGTTCCGCTCTCCCCTTTGGTGTGACAGCCAGCACCCGCGGCAGGCCAAGGCACTCACTTCCGAAGAACATGAAGAGCACGAAGAGCACCGGGTAGAAATAGCTCAAGCAGACAGCCAGGGCGTATTCGTGCACCACGGCCGACATGGCGAAGACACCCAGCATGGCAGCAGATTTGAACCTCTTCGAGAAAAACTGAGGGACGAAGAAAACACCCAAGAGTTAGTAACTTAAAAAAAATGTAAGCATGAACAAGGAGACATGATGACTACGCATTAAAGGCAGCCGCTCTGTCATATTTGACTTTCCTAGCCTATTCCGTAGGTTAATCCAAATCTATTAAAATAATTACAAAAACATGCTCAATGCTCTAGTCTGGACTTGAAGAGTCCTGCCTGCAGGCTCATGGGCTGAGGGCTTGGTTCCCAGGTTGGGGTGCTATTCTGAAAAGTTCTAGAAACATTATTGAGCCAGGTTTCATGTACCACAGGCTAGCCTTGAACTCCTGATCTTTTGGCCTCCAGCTTCCAAGTGCTCACTTGACCACCGCAGGCTCAAATTTCAATCCTCAGAGGGACACTGTCCAGAACTCAGGGCAGGCATCCTTTCCAGAACTAAGATTAAAAACCAAGAGACTTGTCTCAGCCCGACCTGGGGCTTCAATGGGAGTGAGAGAACTCACAGTCTGACACATGCCTGTTTCCTTGGGATGCCGAAAGCCACTGAGGCGGGGACACTCTTAACTCCAGCTTTAGCCAGGAGTACAGGCTGTAATAGTTCCTCTAAATACCTTCCTTTCCAAATCATGGCTCACACAGCCAAGTCTCTGGTTGAAGAGACGTAAATCCAAACAAAGTAGCTCTCTACTTTTAACAAAGAAACAAATCCAGATGAAAGTGGGGACAGAGGCAAGGGGATATGTGCAAATTCCAGGCCTGCCTGGTCTACAAAGGGAGAAAAGGGTGGGGGTGGGGATGGTTGAGAGGGAGAGAGGCTAGCGGGAGATTATGTGTGGGCAATGAGATTCCTAAAGGTCCTTGGTAGGTGGGTCACTTCAGCTCCTACACAGACCTCTAAGAATTGTTAACTTTGTAACCAGGTCCAGAGAAAGGCATGGTATTGTCCTAGTAATGGACATAATGGTTTCCATGCTCAGGAACACTCAAAGCATTAGATGTAAACATCTAAGAAAATGGACAAGAAACTCTAACACCTTCTTCACAGGCAATTAAACACAACTGTCTGCAGCTGTGCAACACTATAAAAAACAAATCCCCATTTCTTTCATGTTTGCCTGGTTAGCTTTTCGGCTTTTGTTTTGAGACAGGGCCTTACTGTGTAGGTCTGGATGTAGACCAGCCTGGCCTTGAACTCAGAGGTCTACCTGCCTCTGCCTCCCAAGTGCTGGTAGATGTGTGGTACCATGCTGGACTTTTTCGTAAAGATTAACTTATTGTATTTTTATGTGTATGCACGTGGACCTCATGCATGCAGGTACCACATGCGAGGCCAGAGGAGGGTATCCAGGCCCCTGGAACTGCAGTTGTATGTGGTTGTAAGCTGACCCATGTGGGTTCTGAGAACCGAACCCAGGTTCCCTGAAAGAACACCAAGCACTCATAGGCCCTGAGGCATCTCTTCAGGCCTCTCCGAACCCCCATTTCTCACATGACATCAGCTAGGTCTTGCTGTTTACCCAGAGGAGGTCCTTGTACGCATAGTAGTAAAGCCAGTCATGGACGACCACATTCCAGGTCCTGTAGTAGTTGGAGTATGACGTCGAGTTCCACCAGTCCTGAGAGAAGAGGCAAGGTATAAAATCACACATACACATATATACACATATATTATTTATTATTATTATTATTATTATTAGAAAGAAAACATAATGTTTTTGAAAAGACGTGAGATCAAGTATACGATACCTTATAAAACATCCTGTCACCAAAGCGCAACATCTCAGCAAAGGCGTTCAGCCAGCAGTGCAAAAAGGCGAAAAACGAAAGGAACAGCACCAGCACACCTGAAAACCAGAGTGACAACCTGAAGTCTTTCCCAGCAGCCCACAGGGCCAGCCATCATGAGCAACACACCAACGTATGTTTAGCTGGGATGCTGCCGCAAAGCCTGCTGGTATTCCTGCTCACCCACTCCAGAGGCGATACAGTACACCTTGGAAAGCTAGGGTTTGTTGTTGTTTACTTAAAAAAAAAAATAAGGTGTTTCTACGTAATTTTAACAGAAAATAGATGATTCCAGCCTGTTTTAAAGAAATGCCTGGACATACAGCTGAACTTGGTGCCCGAGACCCTTTAACTCTCCCTGGGTGCTGCAAACACCATCTACAACGGGGCTTCTGCCATTGCAAGATACCAGGCCTTTCTGTCTGTCCCTCTGTCCAAAAATCTTCCCACCACTTTTCTCCAGACGGTATTTTTTTAAAATTCTCCAGTATATATTCCAGCGCCCAATGCTAAATGTCACCTCTAACTTGAGAAAAAAAGCCTGCAAGGCTGTTCTATTAATAGACTACTTCCACACTACACTGTAAAACACTCATTGCATGCCACCTATTTTATTCACTCGTTCATAAAGATCCCCTCGGTGTTTGCTGGACACACAGGGTAAACTAAAAGAGGCCTTAAAGAATGACACTTGGGGCTGGAGAGATCTCAGTGGTTAAGACCACGGCCTGCGCTTCCAGAGGACCCAGCACCCACATGGTAGCCCACGACTGTGTGTGACTCCAGTTCCAGGGCATCTGACACCCTCTTCTGGCCTCTAAGACTACTGCAAGCACACGGTACACCTACATTCAGGCAAACACTAATACTAATAAATACTAATAAAACAAAAATAAATAATCTTAAAATATGATCGATCCTTAATCTCAAGGAGTTTGCAGTCAAGTGAGTTAAGTTATATGCGCGCGCGCATATGTGTGTGTGTGTGTGTGTGTGTGTGTGTGTGTGTGTGTGTGTGTGTGTGGCTATTCATGCTGCAAGAACATCTAAAAGACAAGAAAGGGAGATGATGACGACAGCAGCAGTAGAGGCCAGAAGGTCAAGTCAAGGAAGCTCTGAAGTCAAGCTCCCTGAAGCACAGACTGTGTCTGCATCACCTGCAGCGGAGTCCTCAGCACTGGCACACAGTAGGAACTCGTGTGTGATCAGAAAAAAGTACATGGAGTGAATGAAACCAGAGACAAGGTGATGGTAAAAGCAGAGGAAATAGTGGTGAACTGAGACTTTACAATGTGGCCAGAGCATCCTGTGTCTCCTAGAAACACTCTGGAAACAGCTAAACCATCTGTCCGGGTTAGCATCAGGAGGTTACTGGCAACTTTACCTATGGGTATTTGATGGCCTGGTGAGATTACAGATCATAGAGGACCAAATAGGAAAAGGAAGATACACTAAATGCAGACGGTCCAAACTTGAGTGAGAAGTGAAACTAGACGGACATTTCACTTCTGGAGCAGAGGAAGAGGTGGTGGGTGGGATTTGTACAGCTCAGTTCTCAGGAAAAAGCAGGGAACTAACGGTGCCTACAGAGAGCAGCTTCCCGCTTTCTTCCTGACTGTATATACGGATGGGCAAATTAGTGAGCCTCCAGCTTACCTGGCAAAATGGAGTTAAATACACAGAGGACCAGAACACGAGCGCTGAAGGGCTCCTGTTTGATATTCCGGAACAATGGAGCGCAGAGTCTCTCAAAGATGTAGTATACATAAAACAGGCAGCCAAAAACCTGGAACACAGCGAAGAAAACAATGCCAGCTTCATAAAGGAAGAGGGAGGCCATGTCTTCCTCCAAAAGAAATCCACATACCACTAATGTTTACACATATTTCTTTAACTCCAGTACACAGGACTCTGGCCCACTCCTTCAGAGAGATTACTCAAGCCTCATTTCTACCACGGTTTTTCCTTATCATTTACTAAATGATTTTCTTTCTTTCTTTTTTTTTTTAGGTCACGTCTTGCTGTGTAGCGCAGGCTGGCTTCAAACTCAACAATCCTCTTCCCTCAGCATCCTGAGTACTGGGTTTATAGACACCTGTCACCACACTTGGCCCAAATGGCATTTTTAGAAGATTATTGAAAAACCTGTTGATGAAGCCCAGAATAGAGAGAACTCGTTTTACAGCTGAGTATTTAACTTAAACAGATTTTAAAATGGGAATCTCTGGGATTTATGATTCTCAAAATGAGTGAGGAAGAAATGGGGGGGGCTCAAAGCAAACCCCCACACATACACACCCCCCCCAGAAAAAGGGAGAAGGAAATCTATCTAGGTTCTTACTGAACTAACCAAACAGAATGACTTTCATTTAAACACTCTCCTCTAGTGAAGAAAATGGCGTCTGACCTGGCAAAGCACACGGACTGTATGGGGGCAGCTTTAATGGCTGAAGTCCCGACAGAAAGCATTCTTGAACTGCTGCTCACTGACATACTTTACCAACTTTAGTATTTGGAGACAGGGTCCCACTATAGTCAAGTCCTGGTTGATTCTAGAATTCGATGATCCTCCTGCCTCTGAGCCACCACTGGCTCAACATTTTAAGTAGATTTTTTAAAAAAGGGTCAGCCATAATGGTACATGCCTTTAATCCAGCACTTGGGAGGCAGGTGGACAGCTGTAAATTTGAGGCCAGCTTGGTCTATATAGTGAGTTCCAGGACAGCCATGGAGAGATAGCTTGGCAGTTAAGAGCACTGGCTGCTCTTCTAGAGGTCCCAGGTTCAATTCCCAGCACCCACATGGCAGCTCACACCTGTCTATAACTCCAGTTCCAGGGCTTCTGACACCCTCACACAGACATACATGCAGGGAAAACACCAATGAACATAAAATAAAAAAGAAGCCCATTTGTTAACAAATAAATCAAATAAAATGTACCAATCAATAACATGTTAGGCAGTTTTAAAAAAAGTTACCTGTAAAAACTGCTTAGCAACGTAACCCCATCTTACAGTAGGAGTCCTGAAAAGAAGAAAAGCAGGTTCTCTAAAACAAGCAACGAACTCTTTCTGTTTTGTCCTTTTATCTACAATGTAAATATCTAACAATGTTTTTCTACACAGACCATTGTTTATGGGCAGAGGAATACCTTAACAGGACAGCGTGTACTTAGCATGCTGTGAAGCCTTGAATTTGGTCTCCAACCCCCCCCCCACTACCAAAACACATAACAAAATTATATAATTCTATCAAGAATTATTAATTAGAACTGGCCTGCTACAATGGCCACTTACAGCATTCAGTTTTCTCTGTAGCCCTGTATGAACTGCCCTCCTCCAAAGCTGCCCCCTGACTTGGATTTCCTCCCCCTCTCCAGGTTACCTCGGATAGCTGTCACGGTAAATGAGTGTAGGCGCAAACAGGAAGTACAGGTACTGGTTGACTGTGGGTACTGGAACTGTGCCTAAAAAAGGAAAACTACTGGATTACAAGATCTTTGACTTCTCCCAGCAAACTAGAAGAGGCAAAAAAGGAAGCAAGAACAGGGCTGGCTGGGCGGTTGGTGGTGCACGCCTTGAATCCCAGCGCTCACACTTGGGAGGCAGAGGCAAATCGGTGTCTGAGTTCAAGGCCAGCCAGGATTACACAGAGAAACCCTGGGGGTTGGAGGAAGGAAGAAGAGCAGGGAAGAACAGCATGACCTCTTGGCTCCTGTTTTCCTTCCTAGTCTACTAAAATGACTTGTTATTCATGCAATAACCCAGTATTGCCAATCTCTCAAAGCCATGACTGTGACTAAGATAAAAATTCTAGAGCGGAAAGCTATAATTTGCAAAGTAAGCAGGCCCAGTGGAGTGAGGCTATGAACATTCCACGAATGCTAAATTACAAGTGTCTAGAGATACGTTTTTTGCATTGTAGATAAAAGGACAAAACAGAATAGTCAAGAAATAATGACTTCCAAATCAATATGGATCCCATGCACTTAGAATGAAATATACTCTCTACAGAATACAATGTCATCCCAGCTTGCAAAAGGATGAAATCTCCCATCAATCATCCTTTGAGGTGACAGAGTTACATACTTGATTTCTCCTTGGCTGCATTCAGTACTCTCGGCACATTCTCTCTGACAAACGAGTGAGCTTTCATCACCAAACGAATCTGCCGACAGAGAGGGGAAATGAATTTCCTTGTCTTCTCTCCTATAAGTAACTCCAGAACTGCACTGGGTAATATTCACACAAAACTTAAATTTTCACATACCAACTCAAGTTAGCCTTTAAAAAGGAAAATAAAACTTCCAGTGGAGAACATGTAATCACTTAAATGATTTTGTACCTAATAGTATTACAAGTTTATTAAAAAAAAAAAAATTGAGAAGTTAAAAATCTGTTCAAGGGCTGAATGTAGCTCCGTGGTGGAGCGCCTGCCCAACATTCCCCCAGCACTGCAAAGCAGATAGTCAAAGAACGTCTCCTGACTGGTCCTTTCTATTAGTCAATCAAGCCAGAAAATTCCAGAGTGTAGTACAAACAAATTAAAATGTCTCTCTCATTTCAATAAGAGTAACAACATAAGGACACGGTGAGTTCAGTGCTTCAAAAGTGGAGTTTTTCAACTACAAACATACAATCTAAATGACTTTTACAAAAAAGCATTTCAAAACTTTTTTTCAAAAATACTTCAATATGGGCTGGAGAGATGGCTCAGCGGTTAAGAGCACTGACTGCTCTTCCGGAGGACCCGTGTTCAATTTCCAGCACCCACATGGCAGCTCACAACTGTCTGTAACTCCAAGATCTGACATCCACACACAGACATGCATGTAGGTAAAACACCAATGCACATAAAAAAATCAATAAATTATAAAAAAAAAAAGTTCAATATGATTTATTTCAGCTCCAGATACCTGAAGTAGAATGAATTGTTTAAAATGATATGACCCAGTCAAACACTTCAATTCTAAAGCAGGCATGCAGTGTACCTGCAATCCCAGGATTTGGGAGCAGGTGGCAGGAAAGTTAGGACCTAACTTGGTATACATGAGCTCCTGACTCGAAACCCTTCAATTCCACAGATAACCGTATCGAGATACATATGAACATACATCCAGCGCTGGCATCCGTTAATAGCATCATCAGCGTTCGATCATTACCGTTATTTAACTACGCACAGCATCATTCCCAGTAACACTCGAATCCTTACCTGTTCGAGTATAACAATGAGCCGGGAGGCTGGGGGCAGTGTGTACGCTAACACAACATATGTCGGGATGAAGCCCAGAATGCCAAGCTGAAAGACTAGGAAGAAGAAGCCATGGACAAGGGAATAGATCAGTGGATGGGAACTCTTGCTGTAGCCATGGGCCCAGCGCTGGAAAAGGAAGTACGGGATTGAAAGTGTAGACAGGAACATGGCCCACCACGTCCAAACAACAATGGGAAGTTTGCCAAAAGCGTAGGCCAGGAGATTGAACTCAAGAACCAGCCTGTGGGGGAGAAAAGTAAAGAGGAGTGAATCTTTGCTATGCGATCAGTTTATAGAACTTAAAATCACCCCCCCCCTCTCTCTCTCTCTCTCTCACACACACACACACACACACACACACACACACACACACAGAGCTTTCAACTTTGAGAAATACTGCAACATTAACATATCAAGGTCATGGTATCAACATGTCACGTGTGTTTACTATAGCACTGTTCACAGCAGCTAGGTTACTGAGCCAACCTAAGTGTTCACCAATGGAGGACGCAGAAGGAAAATGTGGATTACATACACAATGGACTTTTTTTCAATCTAAAGAGTGAAGTTGTACCATTTACAGGAAAACAAGTGCAACTGGACATAATCTTACTAAGGGAATTATGTCAACCTCAGAGAGATTTATTTATATTACATGTTTTCTCTAGACTCTGTAGACACACAAGATGGTGTGTGTAGATGATATGAAAGTAGAAGCAAGCTGGGGAACAGAGGGACTAGGAGGAGGGAGCAGAGAGGAGAGGGCAGCGCTGCATGAGGACAATGACCTCAATGAACGTCATGTACTTGCACAACAATGGCCTTGTGCAACCCTGTAAAACAGAGAGGGAGCACTTTAAAAGAGTCGCGGGTAGAGCTCAGCTGTTGAGTGCAGACCTGTCATCCCAGCACTTGGGAGATGGGGAAGGAGGGTCAGGAGTTCAAGGTCACCTTCGGCTGTGTAGTTAAGTCTGAGGTCGAGCTGGACTACTTTCTCAAATAACAACAACAACAAAATGATGGTGGTGATGATGATGAGTAATGAAATTCTTTTCTTTTACTTTTAGGAGAGAAGAAACTCGCCAGCCACTCAGGATTTTTTTAAGCAAATGAGAACAGTCAACTTTCCACACATCCACTAGCCAGATCCCCGCCTGTCTTACCTTCCTTCATCAATGTAATCTACCACAAGAGTGCTGAGGATAAAGAGGATGAGGAGCGCAATGAACATGTGGTAAATTGTTCGGATGTGGTCCACTTCAAACAGCTCACTGGAAATGTAGGTCAAGAAAATCCTAAGTTAATAATCTATATTTCATTTTAAAGTACCACATAACAGACACTTTTTAAAGCAATTCACAAGATATTTAATCCACTCTTTGAGAAATCTCTTTAAAAATCAAAAAAAGCACAACATTAAACCTGAAATATACAGAAATTAATGATACAATCAAGGTAAAAAATAATGGATTCTGAAACTTGCTTTCTAAAATAGGGTACCAACTCACAGGAAACAGCATGGCTACCCGCATCTAGACAGCCCACCGACAACTGTTTACTGTGTGAGCAAAGGCGAGTTGCCAGAAAGAAGGAATCCGGCTCAATTCCAACCCCTCCAGAAAGCCTGGTTTTACGAACTCACAGAAGTCTGTGTTCCTTCGTAGACAATGGCAGCCGGCCGCCCACCAACTTAACCCTCAACCATTCCCAGCGCCTTCCGCTATCTGCAGGCTTACAGTCCTTCAGACTGGCTGTTGGCCTTTTAACAGAGTGCCCTTCTGGGTGACTCTTCCTCTGTCAGCATCTCCTGCCGCCAACTGAAACAAGCACTTTACCTTGGTTTGGGGAAGTGCGTGCAGCCTTTTAAGTGACTTTGAAGGATCTCAACTATTCTTAAGCTTCTGTATAAAGGATCTTCAAAATCTAATGAAAACCTAGCTAAGCCTTTTCCTTGGTCACATTTCTTTTTTTTTTTTTTTTAAGTTCAAGTATATTTTCATTGATCATGTCTCTCTTCTCTTCTCCCTTGTTTTTCCCTTCCTCCTCTGATCGTTAATGAGGACTTCACGCATGCCTCGGTAAACACTCTACCACTGAACAACAGCCCCCTTTCACTGTTAGTTTTTCAGTGATACAATTCTTAGGTTTCAATGTTTAAATAGCGACTCTTCCTTCTTTGTGAAAAGCCTGCATTTTTCTCCAGATTATAAATTTTAAAAGGTCACTCTCTTGAAACTAGAACACGGCCCAGTTGCTTTAAAGTACAACACGAACAGAATACAGGACACTCTGCCCTCCTCATCAAGGTTAGGAACTACACGCCAATTTGGCTTATAATGTAAGTTCTGAAAAACAAGGTTCATTTTTAAAGGAAAGCACATTACAGCCCCTGATTTAATTTTCACCAACCCAATGTTCTCCCCTATTGCAGGTAAATTTCCTCGGTACCCCAATGGATACCTGAATAAGTAGGTGACTTATAAATGACTAACAACAGGAAAAAACAAACAGCCACCTCCCATCCAAAGTGTACCTGTTGTTAAGTCAGCACAATGCATTCATAGCATGCAATTTAAAGAGAGTGGATAATCATGGATTTTTTAAAAAGTAACTTAGAGGAAACTATCAAGAATCTCAGAAAAATGAGGTGGAAACACACACACACATGAAGAAGGCAACTGAGCTGGTTAGAAAGAAAATGGCCCTCAAAGGGACTATTAGGAGGGGTGGCTTTAATGGAGTGGTATGGCCTTTGTTGGAGGAAGTGTGTCACTGCGGAGGTGGGCACTGAGGTCTCATATATGCTCAAGCCACATCCGGTGTCTCAGTTCACTTCCTGTTGCCTGTAAGTCAAGGTAAGGCACCTGGCTACTTCTTCAGCACCATGTCTGCCTGCATGCCACCATGCTGCACCATGATGATAATGGACTGAACCTCTGAAAATGTGAGCCACCCCAATGAAACGTTTTCCTTTAGAAGAGCTGCTGAGGTCATGGTGTCTCGTCACAGCAATAGAAACCCTAAGACAGCAGCAACTCCATAATTCTCTCCAGACTTCTGCTCTACCTCTCTGGATAAACAATTCTCTATGGCACAGCTTCAAAACATTGGTCAAAGGAGAGATTCCTGGTTTTATGTCTAACTTTTCCAAAGAAGCCAGAAAGAGAACTAGAAGAGAGGCAAGAAGGAACACAAAAACATCACCAAAGTTCATGATTTATATGAACTCAGAACAAACTGGAGAGACAGACAGACAGACCAGAGAGTCTATAAATCAGGACAGTTTTTCCTTCCTAAATCAAACTAATAACTAACAAAAGCAAAAATCACTCACTCTAACAGAGACCGCCTTGAAATAAAAATCTTCCCTTGTTCTGGAGGTGCTCTCAGATCTCTGGAAAAGAAGAAATTACAACAAAACATAGGGAGCAGAAGTTTGACAACAAGCTTAATCCCATGAGCGAGAGGACACAAGTGTACTGGTAACATCCTTGACTTGCTTACCCTTCAAATCCAGTATATGGGGAG